AAGAAACGCAAATCCCCGTGGGTCTCACCCAGTGCCTGTGCGATTTGTGCCGGGGGAAAGAGGAGCTGGAGGCAGCGGTTGAGGTAAGGCAGCAGGTCGTCCAGGAAGGCCGTACAGAACTGGGCAAAGAGCTCCTGCTCCCGCCCACTGAAAGCCGCCTCTTCCGCTCGGTGGAACGCCAGGATGGTTTTGTTCACCTGAGGTGAAAAGCAAGAAGTCATTAATTCCTCAGAAAGTTGTTAATTCTGAGTGTAAGCCGGCAGCGTGCCCAGGTGGCCAAGAGCACCCTGGCTTATATCAGAAATTGTGTGGCCAGCAGTGATCGTCCCCATGTACTCGGCACTGGTGAGGCTGCACCTCAAATGCTGTGTTCGGTTTTGGGACAAGAAAGACACTGACGTGCTGGAGCGTGTCTGGAAAAGGGCAACGAAGCTGGTGAAGGGCCTGGAGAACAAGGAGAAGGGTCTAGAGAACTTGAGGAGCGGCTGAGGGAACTGGGGTTGTTTAGTCTGGAGAAAAGGAGGCTGAGGGGAGACCTTATCGCTCTCTACAACTACCTGAAAGGAGGTTGTAGCGAGGTGGGGGTCGGTCTCTTCTCCCAAGCGATAGGGCAAGCGGAAACGGCCTCAAGTTGCACCAGGGGAGGTTTGGATGGGTATCAGGAAAAATTTCATCACCAAAAGGGTTATTAAGCACTGGAATAGACTGCCCAGGGAAGTGGTTGAGTCACCATCCCTGGAGGTGTTTACAAGACGTGTAAATGTGGCACTTAGGGACACGGTTTAGCGGTGGACTTGGCACTGTTAGGTTTGTGGTTGGACTCGATGATCTTAAGGGTCTTTTCCAACCTCAACGACTCTATGACTCTATCCTATGAATGCTCGGGGCAGGGCAAGCATGTCCCCGCGTTCTCCCAGGACAAGGCACAGCTCCGTCCCCCAGCGCCTTACCTCACCGAGCGCGTCCTCCAGGCAGGTGGTGACGTCCTGGGCCAGGGCGACGGGGCAGCAGAGCCGCAGGTCGTTGAAGGCGACGAGGAGGCCGTTGAGGAAGCAGGCAAGGGGCGGGAAGTCCAGCAGCACCATGGGCGGCTGCAGCGTCCCCGGCTGTGCCGCGGGCACCGGCACACCAGCGCTGCCCCCAAGGACAGCTGGGGCAGAGATGAGCGTGTAGGAGTTCATCTCCTCCCGGAATTTTTCCACCACCTCCTCCACTGCCTTCTCGAAAGCAGCGGCGGCCATGCGCTGGAAGAGGGGGGCCAGCTGCCCGCGGAAATCAGCCCCTACCCTGCTGAAGGAGAGGCCGAAGTACATGCACTGCCCCAGCAGCGAGTCCAGGCGGCCGCCCACCCCGCGCCGGAGATCGCGCTCCAGCGTCCGCAGGAACTCGGAGACCTTCTGCAGCACCCAGCCATGGAAGATGGCTCCCTCGTTGAGGGCCTGCCCCTCGGGGGGCAGGAGCGGCTCCTCGTCGGAGAAGATAGCGCGATACTGGGTGACGATGTCGAAGAGGTGGACGCGACAGGCCTCGATGGTCTTGGTGATGTGGAAGTAGGGGTCGTCGTCGGGGATGGAGGCCTGGATGGAGCGCAGCCAGGCGTCCCGTGCTTGCAGAAACTTGATGCGCAGCTCGGCCTCTGTGAAGACGTCCATGCGCCGCAGGTAGCCGATGACCCGCAGGCAGGCCGGCAGCTGGATGTTGGTGCGGAGCTGCTGGATGAGCTGGTTCAGCATCAGCTGGGCAGACTGGCGCACCTCGTCCACGATGCTCTGGGGCGGGAAAGAAGCCTCAGCCGCGGGGGCCAGGTGCAGGGCAGCCGTGGGGCAGGAGCAGAGCGGGGCCTACCTGGATCACAGGGATGCTGCTGTGCTTCCTCTCCAGCCGGCGCACGTAGGCAGCGAGCTCCAGCGCCTCCTCGTAGTAGCCGTTGCGGACGCAGGTGTCCATGAGCTGTGGGATCTCCAGGATCTCCAGGATCTCCGTGTGCCGGTTCAGCGTCAGGCTGTTCATGCGCCGGCTGCAGGCGATCTCCTCGGCATCGCGCATGAAGTTCCTGCAGGATCGGGATGGGATTGGCACGAGGGTCCCCTCCTGCCCACGCTGCCCTCTCCCCAGTGCCGTCCAGGGCCCCCTCCCAGTGCTGCCTGTACCCCCAGTCCCAGCCGGCCCCGATCCTTACTGGGACCAGCACCAGGACCCCTCTCGCCACCCACCAGCCCAGCCCTCACCGGTCTCCCCCGCCCCTGGGGCTGCTCCTGCGCCCTCAGACCCTCTCTCAGCCTCACCCCATCCCCGGTTCTTTCTGCCGTCCTCCCCGTTCCCTCCCGTGCCTTCCCCGCCCCGGCTAATCCCGATCCCGGTCCCGGTCCCCGTCCCCGCACCGGCAAGCGTCCTGGAGGGCGGGCAGGCGGCCCAGCAGACTGCCGAGGCGGCTCTCGATGCCGCCGAAGCCGCGGCCGGCGCGGCCGGTGCACTCGGCGGAGCGGATAAAGGCCCGGTAGTGCTCGAAGGCCAGGCGGCGGGTCTCCGCCCCCACCCGCGCCCTCTCCGCCGCCAGCCGCGCCGGCT